GCCTAGTAGCACCTCCCTCATTTTTTTCTTCACCTCTTCTATGTCCTCAAATTGCTGTCCTTTAATGTCCCTCTTCTTTCTTGGAAACAAAAAGAAGTTGCACAGAGCTAGGTCAGGTGAGTGGGGCAAGAGAGGCATGCTGTCACAATGAGGTGGCTGTGTGAGCAGGTGCATTGTCATGGTGGCAAAAGCAGTCCCCTGTCTGCCACAAAACAGGCCTTTTCTGCCACATACTGTTATGCTATCTTTTCAGAACCTCTAAACAGAAAGCTTGATTAACAGTCTGGATCAGGTATCAGGCACCAAAGACCAAAAAATCATATCAGGCACCAAAGACCAAAAAATCATATCATGGTAAATGAGGGGTAGTGCAGACTGGGGACCCAATGCCCATCTGTAGGAAACTGGACATCCCCTTACAGAAGGGTATCGGGAAGGAGATGAGCCAGTCAGGGTGCAGAGTAGCAGTGATAAAACATACAACTTTCCTCTAGTTCATAAATGCTTCCCCCCACCACCCGGCTCCCTATCATGATCCTAATTCTACCTTACAAATCAAGCTAGACCAGAGGATGTACACTGGTACAGATAGGAACTGGAAACACAGGGAATCCAGGACAAATGATCCCTTCAGGACCAATGGTGAGAGTGGCAATACCAGGAAGGTAGAGGGAAGGTAGGGTAGAAAGGTGGAACCGATTATAAGGATCTACATATAACCTCCTCCCTGGGGGACAGACAACAGGAAAGTGGGTGAAGGGAGACATTGGACAGTGTAAGATATGACAAAATATAATAATTTATAAATTATCAAGGGTGGGGAGGGAGGAGAAAAAATGAGGAGCTGCTATCAAGTGCTTAAATAGAAAGCAAATGTTTTGAGAATGATGAGGGCAACAAATGTACAAATGAGCTTGACATACAATGGATGTATGTAGGGATTGTGATAAGAGTTGTACGAGCCCCAATAAAATGATTAGAAAAACAAAAAACAGTCTGACCTGGTAGAATGAACTCCAAAGGCACTATCCCCCTCACATCAAAAAACAAATGAGCATCATCTTGATCTTTGATTTCACATGATGAATGTTTTTTGGGCGGTGATGATGGCATCTTCCACTGACTTGATTGATGTTTGCTTTTGGGGTCTTAAGTGTAGAACCATGTCTCGACACCAGTTCTGACCTTGGAAAAACTCTGGGTCGCTTAGGATCTGGAACTGTTCTTTCAAAGCAAGGCATGTTTCTACTCAATGCTCTTTTGCCTGGTCAGTCAGAACCCAAGGCACAAATTTTGCAGCAACCTTCTCATTCCCAAATCTACCATTACAGTTCAATGAACTGAGCTCCAAGACAGTCCAGGTAACTTCCCCATCTCTTCAATGGTCCTTTGTCAGTCTTCGAGCACAAGTGCATGAATTTTGTCAACATTTTTGTCCGTTTGGGAATTCGGGAAGTTGAAGGACATCCAAAATGAGGTTTGTCATCAATTGACATTTCATCTTTTTTTGAAACAAGAAAACCATTCGTACACTTGAGTTCTTGAGTTTTTCCCATGGCGCTGTCCTTGTAAGCCGTGTTCAACATCACAACAATTTCTTTGGCATTTTTCCCCAAGCAGGAAACAAAATCTCACAGCCGCATGCTGTTCTTTTAAATTGGCCATCACAAAAAACAAGGTTCAAGCGAAACAGCTTTTAAGAAAAAATTCACTGTGACCAGAGAGAACCAATGCCATCGGGAGCGCTATCTCCGAGCACGTTGCTTTACTGGGAAAAATAAGTACTACAAAAGCTCCGCCCAGTGGAGCTTTTTTCCATTTGGGAGGGAGGGGGGAAGGGTCTCCCGTGTACAGATACTCCTCACTGCCATGAACTCAATTCGAACTCAAAGTGACCCTATAGGACCCGGTAGAACTGCCCTACTGCTTCTGAGAATGTAACTCTTTATGAATGTAACGTCTTATTTCTCCACAGAGAGGCCGCTGGTTTTGAATTGCTTACTCTGGGGATCACAGCCCAATGTGCAACCAATCCAAAAAACAAAAATCCACTGTCACCGAGTCAATGCCCATTCATAGAAACCCCTCTGTGGGTTTCTGAGTCAGTAACTGTTTACAAGAGTAGAAAGCTCATTCTTTCTCTCTAGCAGCCGCTGGTGTTTTCAAAAATGTAGACCGCAACCCAAAGCCAAACCACTACACCTCTAGGACTCCTATGTGTAATCACTACTTGTTTTAATTGCCATATATCACAGAATTAAAAATAATATTAACAAAAGCAAATTATTGATTGGTAGAATTATTTATGGTATATATAAAAACAAAACAACAGAAATACCAGTTGCTGTTGAGTCAATTCTGACTCGTGGCAACCTTTGGTGCGTCAGAGTAGAACTGTTCTAGTGTTTTCAATGACTGATTTTTTGGCAGCAGATGGCAGTACTTCTTCTGAGAGGCCTCATGCCTTCAGTCTTTTGGTTAAAAGCTGAGCATATTAGCTGTTTGCACCATCCACAGACTCCAGAATATATGAATGCATTACAAATAGAAGACTGGAAGAATATAAACCCATTTTATGATAATGGAGTGGGGGTGTGGGTGTAGAGAATATGGGGTTGGGAATAGGAATCAAAGGAGATTTTATCTACAATATTTCCGCTTTTTATAATACAGTGAAAAGCAAATATAAATTGTTAATGGGCTTTAATTAAAAAATCTTTTTATGGTGAATTGGTGAAGATTTACATTCAACAATTCATAGTCTGTTCTTCTCAGGCATTGCAATCCCCTCAATGTACATAATATCACCCATTCACCTCCCTACATTCCTCTTTTGCTAACTCTACAGAAATTTGTCCTTGGGTAAACTCTGCCCACCTTGTTCCCAAATGGTCAACTGTTTTACAGTATGCGCACATCAATAGTGTTAGTCCCTTTTTATAGACCTATTGTTTGGCTGAAAACAGAGAAAATTGTTTGGCTGAAAACAGAGAAACTAGGGAAAGTTCCACTCCAGACCTGAAGAAGAGTACAAGGATCTTAATTTTGGGGATTTCACCATTCTCTATCCAACCAACCAGCCTGATCTCCTTTATGATTGAGTTTTGTTCCACATCTTTCTCTCACTCAATTCAGGACCTTCTAATGTGATCCCCCCTTCAAAGCAGTTAGTAGTGGTAGCCAGGGACCATCATATTCTTCTGGTGCCAGGGTTGTGGATACTAGTGTTTTCATGGTCTTTGGGGTAGTTAAATAATTTCATGTTAACTTGATATATGAAAGTGTAGGGGTACTAAAATTGATGTAGCAATGATTGTACAATTCCTCTTGAAATGACTGAACTACTGAATTGTATGATCTGTAAATTATGTGCCAATAAAACTGTTGGAACAAAAACCAAAGAAACATTTCCGGATATATTAAAATGTCTTTCACATAATGGGACTCTGGTAGTGCTGCGGGTTTGATATTGGGCTGCTAACCTCAAGTTGGCTGTTCAAATAAACCAGCTGTTCTGAGGGAGAAGATGAGGCTATTTGTTCTCATAAATATTTACAGGGAATGGTTCAGTTCTACTCTGTACTATAGCCAGAATCAATTTGATGACAGCAGAAAAACATAAAAGTTAATAGTAATAGTGTTTAGTTAATTGTCGCAAAGTAGAGCCAGTTTGTTACTTTGAGCCATTATGTGATCTTCAAAATTATAATATACTAGACTTTATGGGGCTTTGTTACTATGTGTTGTATATATGTCATATGTCCAATCTAGAGACTGACTGTGGTTCATAAACATTATATGTATATATAAACATTTTATATATAAAGGGGGGGGGGGAGTATAAGAGTGGAGTTTAGCCTGTCAATCAGGTCACAGCCTGATGGTGACTCCTTACGGGTGTGGCCTTCTCATGAGCATCCTGGGACAACACCCCCCCCCTTCACCTTCCTGTTGGCTGACCCTGATTGTTGCCAGAGCTGCCGCCATTGGATCCACATGAATTTACACCCACAGACCTGTAACCTTCCTGCATTCTGCATCATGGTAAATGTGGCTGCCTGAGTCTGAAGCGGGACTTATGGGCTATTATCAGACTTATGGACTTGAGTTGGACTGGGCTGTAACATTTTCTTGATGCCTAATTACTTCTGGATATAAAGCTCTCACATGTGTGTCACTGGATTTGTTTCTCTAGTCAACCCAGCCTAATGTGTCTATTAGTCCACTGGACCAATTTGTTTCCTTGAGTCTTTGATTTTCATCACTCTTCTTTCGACTGGTCAGGAAGAGACCAATAATTGTACCTTATATGGCTACTCAGGAGCTTTAAAGACTCTAGTTGCTACTCATTAAAGTAGGATATAGATTTTGTGGACTATGTTATGCTAATTGACCTTGGTGCCCCCCCACCCCCACCCCGAGTCCTCACCCCCGCCCCAGCCTGTGGTCCTGATCCTTCAGGTCCAGTGACTCATTCTTTCAAGGTGCTTAGCTTTGCCCAAAGAGTTCATAACTTTGACTTCCTTTATGCTACACTACAATCATGAATATGATTGCATTAAAGGCAAACATCCAAGTACAAATATCCTGTCAAACCTACACATATATTTTTACTCTAATTCTCTCTTCCACAAAGGTGAAATCTATGTACAAATATCTTGTCAAACACACACACTCAACCTCCTACACCTGCTCAGTCCATGTCTTTTTCCATGCATCTACTTGTAGATCATTATCGCAGGATAGTATACATCAGTGGTTCTCAACCTTCCTAATGCTGTGACCCTTTAATACAGTTCATGATGTAGTGGCCCCCCCCCAACAATAAAATTATTTTTGTTCCTACTTTAAAACTGTAATTTTGCTACTGTTATGAATCGGGTGACCCTGTGAAAGGGTCATTCGACCCCCAAAGGGGGTTACGACTCATAGGTTGAGAAACACTGGTGTATATAATGGTAAATTACTTCTGTTGCCTTTACTTTTTTTTTTTTTTCTTTCACGGTGCAAACAGCTTCACTGCCTGAAGCCCATGGGATAAAGCCAGGCAATGGTTCGGGGTGACAATTTGCTTTGACATGGGACACTGTGAGAGGCCCATGGAATTGGACCTGCCATAAATCCAAACCCATGCAGTTGCCTTTACTCTTGCGCCCTTCCTAATGTCCTCCACACGCCTATCATTCTTTGCCTCCACACCATCTTTCTTTACCAACCTCTTATGTACACTGCCCTTCCCTTCACCCAAGGTTTTGAAATCGACTTGGCTTCTCTATTTGTAAGTTCTGTTAACTATTCTATTCCTTCTTTTTACTTTGCAATTGTCTTCATTATAAATTGCAGTCTTTGCTCCCTTATTTTCAGTCTTGTAGGTTTATTTTACTTTTGAAATTTTTATATCTTCAGCTGCTTTCAGAATTCTTTCCTTGTATTTGGCTTTACAAAGTTTGATTAAGTTGTGTCTTGGTGATTTTCTTTTGGGGGTTCATTGAGCTTCTTAAATGCATATCTTCTAGCCTTTTAAGATGTTCCAAGTTTTATTCCAACAACTCTTTTGAGAATTTTGGGCTGTTTTTTGGCCTTTCTTGTTCTGGAATCCCGATTACACCCGTTATTCCTTTTGCTGTTTTGTATAGGTTCTAATTTGTCACTTATTATATGTCAGTTTGATTTTCAAATGTTTTCCTGAATTCTTCTAAATTTTTTCTATGCTTTTCTTTATTTCATCTGTGCCTTTTCCCACATTTCTCTCAATTCCTTATCAGGTAGTTCTAATGTCCCTTTTCTGCCTGACAAAAGTCTTCTAGTTCTATTTTTTGAACACTTGTTTGAGCCATCCTTGTCTTATTTCTTTGTATGAACTGAAATTAACTGTTGTTCTGGTACTTTGTGGTATTGTATTTGTTTAACTGATGATTGTATATCTTGCCTTCTGGCTCCTAGTGAGTATAATTGAGAATGTTTCCGTTCTCACCTGCTTTGTTCAACTTCTCCTAGTTAGTATTCAATCCACTTCTCTATATATTTTCCTTTGAAGGTCAGGATGATCATCTGTATCTGCTTCATTTGGTTTCTCATGCCTTTGTTGTAGAGGATCTGTGTAGTATGTCTGTCTAGTTCACCATCTTGCTGGACCAGCCAACTTTCCACACTTTACCAATTCTGATGCTAGCTGTTTCCCATTTCTCTGCTGAGTATGATCATTTGTTTTAATGGCCACACAGAACGCACAGTCTATACTTATGATTATATGGGTTATAGGGTAAAGAGGGTTAATTCTGTAAAGAGTCAGAATTGAGTTGGTGGCATTGAGTTTTGGTTTTTGAATAGGCTAACAACTCAATCAGGATCAAATTGAAGTAACAGCATAGTTTGTAATCAGGACAACTTCCAACCGTGATAGCTCTCAGCTCTGTCCTGTCCTGTCTGTAAACAGTCTGCACTATCAGGTCTTTTACTGGCCATATAAGTTTCTTCTTGGTCACTACCTTGCTGGCGTAAATGTTTTAACTCTTTTGATCCACTGACCAAGTGTCTGGAGGCACCCACCTAGCCAGCATGCCTCCTGCCTGAAAGCATACAGTTCTCTTTTGCTCCATGGGTTGGCAAGCCCAAGGAAGACACGGCTCACTCTGGAGGTGGAAATACCAATGCAGCCATGCGACACCTGTCTCCTTGCCAACCACTTTTAATGTTACCACTGTCTAGTGTCATCTCTAATGTTACAACTCTTGTCTGCTCGTTTCAGGATAGCCTCAGCACAGGGACCCCAGGTATAGAGGACACGCTCCGTTCCCAGCTATCCTTCTCAACTTCTGCAGGATTGGCCCTTTTATAAGGTTACTCCTTCCACTAAGACTAATCCTTTCAGTACATCAATCACCTAATTTACATACTACCCTTATTTGCAAAGCAAACTGGCTAATCCGTTTGCAAGACTGTAGCCTAGCAAATAATTTAGTTAGTTCTACAAACCCAGAGTCTGATTTATATAATTGCAGTTACAGAAACCAGAAGGAAACATGGTATGCTCCTATGGATTCCCTGGTCTCTAGGAATCTGTGGATGACAACACCTTCCCCTTCATAAGGATTCTAATTCACTTCGGCAGGGGAGGGAGTAGATTATTCTCCCTGCTTTTCCTTTTTTTAAAAACATTTTATTAGGGGCTCATACAACTGTTATCGCAATCCATACACACATCAATTGTGTAAAGCGCATTTGTACATCATTCTCAAAACATTTTCTCTCCACTTAAACCCCCGACATTAGATCCTCATTTTTCCCCTCCCTCCCCGCTCACCCCTCCCTCATGAGCCCTTGATAGTTTATAAATGGGTATTTTGTCATATCTTGCCCTGTCCGACGTCTCCCTTCACCCACTTTTTGGTTGTCTGTCCCCCAGGGAGGAGTTCACATAGTTCCTTGTAATCGGTTCCCTCTTTCCTACCCATTCTCCCTTTACCCTCCCTGTTTTGCCACTCACACCACTGGTCCTATAGGGCTCATCTGCCCTGGATTCCCTGTATTTTCAGTTCCTATCTGTACCAGTGTACATCCTCTGGTCTAGCCAGACTTGCAAGGTCGAATTCAAGTCATGGTAGTGGGAGCGGGGAGGAAACATTTAGGAACTGGAGGAAAGTTGTATTTCTCATCGTTGTTATGCTTTTCCTTCTGGCTATTCTGGAGACACTCTGGCTACATTCTTTGGTTACTCACCAGGTACAAGTAACTGATGTGGAACCTCAACAAATTCCAGAGTATTTACTGTCACATGGGGAAGCAAAAATAGAGCTCTCAGAAATGACTGTAACCAGGTCCAAGCTTCAAATTTGAGGTTCACTCTTGTAGTTTATTAGCTAGTCTTTGTTTTCTCTATATTCCTTAATTCTAATTTTTGGAAATTTAAGAGAAAAAGTGGATGATGATAGAGAAGGTAATATAAAACAACAGGTTTCTTGTTAAGATGTGTGGCAATAAAACTAACCAAGGTTTAGATAACCTGGTACAATGGTTTATCAGTGTTAAAATTTCAGGGCTATATTTGCCACTCCAAATCACTTAAGGCACTATGAAAACACCCTGCCCCTTCTCACCATTTTTGTTTATCCAAAATTACCTAAGTGGTTCTGATAATTAATTTATGTAGATAATTGCTTATTTATAAAAATGAAAAGTGACAAAAATGAATACACCCATTTTTGTTCTTTTTGGCTACAAATATGGCAATAATGAAATGTATAACAGTAAACAAGTAATTATTAAACAAAAGCCAGCTATTTGCAAAGGAAAGGCAATTCAATTTCCAATATTCATGTCACTAGTTTAAAAATGTTGAAAGATTAAGTGTATAATTGAACAGATAATTCATGTTAAAATTAAATACAATCTTCATTTTAAACAGCAGTTTAGGCAACATTACTAGGAATTTAAAGCCTCTATTCAGGGCAATTTGGGGTATGTGGGCTTAAAATAATATAACACAACAAAAAAGATATCAGAAGTTCAAAAACAAGCAACTAAATCGATATGAAGGGGTGGGGATGTAGTAGAGACTCAAAACCCACCTGGAAGTTAATTGGACAGTCCCTCTGAGAAGGACCACATGGAAGGGATGATAAATCCAGGGTGCAGTACAGTACAGCACATAAATATCCACTATTTCTTTAATATTTCCTCCCATTACTATTATGGTTTTTATTTGTTTTACCTCATTAATCATGTTAGACTTATGTATGTACATTTGTATAATTAAGATCATTTGATACATGAAAGACAAGATAGATACCCCTCAGACACAGTAACAGGAGTATCGGTTCCCTGAGGAAACGGGAAGTGGGGGTGGGGTGGAGAAACTGATAGCACTGAGGACTGTATAACCCCACTCAAGGGGAGCAAACCACAGAATTGTACGTAAATGGATATACTGGATGGTGTAAGATGCAGCAAATAAATAAATAAGGGCTCCCAGTGGGGAGGGTGGGAAAGGAAAGGGACAAAGGGGAGCTGATATCAAGGAGTTCAAAAAGAAAAATGTTTTGAAACTGACTGTGGTAGCAATTCAACAATACTGCTTGATTTGATTGAACTATGCAATGTTATATCTGTAAGAGCTCGCAATAAGTTTAAAAAGTACAAAACATGCAAACACTCACTATTAATTAAATAAGGTCAATAAATTTGTTTAATAATTGGCTCTATAAAACATGTAACCTTTAATCTAGAAGTATAACAAATGAGTATATAGTATCTCACTCATGTTTGCTTAGTTTTCACAAGGGCAAAACCTCTGTTGAAGAAATAACCAAACACATGAGCAAGTTTTGGTGCTGAGTTTTGTCTCTCAAAAACTGCCACCCAAAGGCCAAGCTCACTGTCGATTACGGCTAATAGCAACCCTAGGGCAGAACAGAACTGCTCTTGTGGGTTTATGAGTCTCTAACTCTTTATGGGTGTAGAAAGACTTATTTTTCTCCCACTGAATTGCTGGTGGTTTCAAACTGCTGGCCTTGCACTTAGAAACCCAAGGTGTAACCCATTACACCATCAGAAGCAAAAATTGTCATAAGAAATCTGAGCCCTATGTAAGAGCCCTGGAGGTGTAATGGGTTATGAGTTGTACTGCTAACCACAAGCTTAGCAGTTTGAAACCACCAACTGCTCCAAGAGAAAAACATAAGGCTTTCTACTCCCATAGAGATACAATCTCAGAAACTCACAGGGGCATTTCTACCCTAACTATGGGTGGCTATGAATTAGAATTGACTCTGGCAGTGAATTTTGTTTGGGGAGACTGACTTATTTGGGTCTGTCACTATTCCTTAAATAAACATGAGGGGTGTTAAACTTGAATGAAGGGTCAGCCTAACAAGTTGCTATGATGAATAGGTTTCAGTGGAACTTTCAGACTAAGATTGAAAGAAGAAAAAAGCCAAGCAATCTACTTATGAAAACCAGGCAACAAAACCCCTATGGAGCATAATGGTCTAATCCTCAACCCATCGTGGAGCTACTACTATTGGACTGAGCAGCCCTTTCATCTGTGCATGGGGTCACTATGAACTGGGGCAAATGAACAGCAGCTATCAACAACAACAAAAATAGAGCAAAGGGGCAATGGGTGAAAAATGATCAAAAACTATAATTTCTGTCTGCCTAGCATGAATACAGTTGACTATTTTATTAAATGCTTCTACATGTTCTGATTTGATACATCTTTGTAAGGTAGGATATTCCCATAATCATATTTATTTTCTCTCCATTTTTATGAATGAGGAAATATAGCTCAGAATTTAACATAGTGAGTGGCAAGATTATAATTTTATAATTTCCATCTCTAAATCACAAGCTTTTCTGACTAAACTGTACCAACTTTTGTCACGGAATAATTTCCCAGTGTCTAAGCCAATAGTTTCACCTAGAGCAGAAATATCTGGAAAGCTTTAGAAAATGTAGATACCTAGGGCTCACCCTACACAAAACATCTAATGGGTTTTATGTAGGGTCCAAGCATCCATTCATATTTTAAAATGCTCCTCAGATGATTGTAAGGTGGAATGACACCAATGTTCATTGCAGGACTATTCACAACAGACAAAAGGTGGAAATAATCTGACTACCCATAAATGAAAGGATAAACAAAATGTGGTATGTACATGCAATGGACTGTTACTCAGCCATAGAGAGAAATGAAGTCCTGATACACTCTAAACACAGATGAAACTTAGAAGACATTAAGTTCAGTGAAATACGTCAGACTCAAACAGGCTGGTATTTTACGGCCCCACTTAAATATCTAGAAAAGGAAAAAGATTAAAGTTTAAAGTTTACAAATAATGTTTACCAGGGGCAAGTGAAAGGGGCAAAGGAAAGCACTAAGCATCTTTTTATAGCCAAGAAAAACTTGAGCAATGAATACTGGTCATGGTTGCCCATGAATAATGCAACTGATATCACTATACATCAAAAAAATGTTGAATTGGCAACTTTGGTATTGTATATGTATGTACATACACATATATAATACAACAATAAAAGTACTTTACAGGAAAAAAAATCTTTGCAGTACATCAAAAGGAGAAAAAATCTTTGCAGTAAGTCAAAAGGCACAGAAGATGAAAGTTAAGTCAGCATTGGTCACCTATTTCAGTAATGGGGGCCAGATTTCCCTTCCCTAATTCTTGGGATGTTTTAAACACTTCACTAGGACTACTTTGCTTTTCATTCTTATGGAGCCCTGGTGGCGTAGTTAGTTACTCAATGGGCTGCTAACCAATAGGTCAGCAGTTCAAACCACCAGCTGCTCTTTGAGAGAACGATGAAGCTTTCTGTTCCTTTAATGATTTATAGCCTTGGAAACCCACAGGAGCAGTTCAATGTCTCATATGTAGTCACTATAAGTAGGAATCTATGTGATGGCAATTAGCTTGAGCTCAAAGAACATAAGACAGTCAGGTCAGTTTTTATACAAAAGAACATTGCTAAAAGTTTAGTTTCATAAAAGTGAAAGCAGCTGCCCTCAAAAGAGGAGTGGGAGAAAAGTCAATTACAAAACACCCTAAGTCAAAAAGGCTTGTATTTGATTGGACTTGGCAATGGCAGTAGGTGATCTCTTTTGGGCATATCGGAATCAACTTGATGGCAGAGAGGCATGATGGTTAAGTGTTCAGTACTAATGGAAAGGCCAGTAGTTCAAATCTACCAGTGGCTCAGCATGAGAAAAGACCTAGCAATCTGTTCCTATAAAACTTTCAGCCTCGGGAACTCTATGGAGTAGTCCTACCCTGTCCTACAGTTACTGAATCAGAATTGACTTGATGATACACACATGCATGAGAGTCCATGGGTGGTGCTAACAGTTGATACATTCAGTTGCTAACCACAAGTCCACCCAGAGGCACCTAAGAAGAAAGGGCTAATCATCTATTTTAGGAAAAAATAATCAGCTGTAGAAAACCCTTTGGGGCATAGTTCTACTCTGACACACACAGGGTTGCCATTAGTTGGCGTTGACATGATGAAAACTTTTTGTTTTAAATTACAATTTGACAGTATGCTAAATAATCAAAAACTCACTGCTGCTGAGTGGATTCCAACTCACAGCAATGCTACTGGACAGGGTGGAACTGCCCTTGTGGGTTTTCTGAGATTTTAACTCTTTACAGTGTGGAACAGCTGGTGGTTTAGTGCTGACCTAGTGGTTAGCAACCTAACTAATAAGTGAAAAATTAAGCATTTGTTTATACAACAAATATTTACTGATTATCTGCTGAGTGCCAGGCTCTGTTCTAGAGTTTACAACAAGCAAGGGTGTCAAACCAAACCAAACCGTACTCAATGCCATCCAGTCAATTCTTAATAATAGCAATCCTCCAAAACCAAACCAAATTCACAGCCATTGAGTTAATGCCGACTCATAGCAACTGTATAGGGCAGGATAGAACTGCCCCTGTGGGTTTCCAAGACTACTAATTATTTATGGGAGTAAAAAGCCCTATCTTTCTCCTTATCATAATCTCAGAACCTGTAAATAACATACAGGGGGTTCTTCATTGCACTTTTTTAATATAACTTGGCCCTCACTTTAAATGGATTAAACAAGTCCCATATTCAACTGAAACGACTAAATAAAAGCCTCATGCACCATAACCACAAATACTACTTAAAGACACAATTCCTAACAGATCTCATTTGTAAAGTGGGGACTACTTGTACTTAAGGGGTTCTTGTTGTTAGGTTCTGATCTATAATGACCCTATGCATAACAACGCAACAATGCCCAGTTCTAGGTCATCCTCCCACTTATTCCTATGTCTGAACCCACTGTTTCAGTCAGTGTGAATCCTTCTTGTCGATATACAATTTCAGATTGCTAGCCTGAAACAACGGTTGATTACCCACCCACACCCCTAAAAAAAAAAGGCTAAAGGCATGTTTTTATCAATTTACATAAGAACCGACCACCAACCAGTCAACTCGGGCTCATAGAGGCCCTTTTATAGGGTGTTTTTCCCAGAGTATATCTTTATAAAAGCAGTCTCACCTTTTTCCCAAGGAGCAGCCGGCTGGTGGGTTTGAACCACCATCCTTGTGGTTAGTACCCACAATACCTACCCCACAGCACCACCAGGGTGCTTGTATCAAATTGGTTGTCTGGAAATTCTAAGCTGCAAAGGAAATGTCCATCCATGTCACTCTGGGTGATGGCTTGTGTTCTGGGTTTGGCAAACCCACACAGCATTAAACTGGGTATAAATTCAATGAAGAAAAGTAGTTCTTTAGAATTTTACACTTGGAATTTAGTGCAAAGGGCTGTTTCAGCTGCTGAACAAGGTGGCAAGTGACGTCCACGGAGAATATTAAGCAACCACAAACTTTATGTACGCATTACAGCTGGCTATACGGACAGTCGACCTGGCTGGAGCAAAATGTGTATCCTAAGTCCCCGAAACCATGGTAGAACCATGGAGTAGAATTTGAACAGCAGAGGACAAGTGGGCTAGCTACACAATTAACGAGTCTGAACTACTCGAGCCCCACAAAGTGGGTAACTGGCTTCAGTATAGGCTGAAACTTCCTTAAAGAACTCAATGAATCTCATAAAGTACGCGGTTTGGCGCTGGGATTCCCGTGGCTGTTTTCCATAACCTCTACTCTGGTTTGACCGTTAAAGCTCCCGTGTGGCTATTCTGACCTTACAGTTTGAGAACGGGCACAGGGAGTTGGGGGGGGAGGGGGGTGTACACCAAAACCTATCGTAAAGATTTACAGCCTCCGGAAACACCTCTATAAATAAGCTCGCAAGGTTCGGAATCGACCCGATGGCAGCCGGTTTGGTTGGGGGGTTTGTTTTCACAGCTGGAGGAGGGACATTTCCGCGAAGAGATAAAGTGGTCCTTTCTTGCCAGTGGCATCACTGACAAACACGTTACAACACAGTTGCGGGGGGTGGGGGGGAGAGTCTCAGAGAGACAGAGACGAGGAAAAGAAACACAAACTATGTGGCTTTGGGCGCCTCGCACTTCCAGAACGGCACAAAACGAGACGCCCCGCTCCTGAACTAAGTTTCGCTCCCGGTCTACGAACTGAGGCGGCCCGCTCGGTCCTCCTCCGAGTATGAACTTCAGACTCGGGGCCCCTCCGACAGCCTCTTGGCCGTGGAACTCCTCCGGACACGCTGGGCTCGTCTCGGGAAGAGCCTCGCGGCCGGGCGCCGGCCGAGCCAGCGTCGCGGTCCGCAGCGCCCCTTCTTCCCTAAAGCCGTCCGTACCTGTCCAGCATCTGCTGTAGGGCTTGGTCCGGCATCTTCGGCGGAGCCGGCGCACCCGGCGCTCTGCAGGGGCCCCGGTCGGCGCCGGGCCCAGGGACAATAGCACTGGAGAGGCGGCGGCGGCAGAGTAGGCCTCAGTCCCGCGGCAGCCGAGGACCCACTCCCCAGCCTTTCCGAGCGGCTCCACGAAGCCGGCCGCGACGGTGCGCGACCTGCGGGCGTCCGGAGGTGGCGGTGAGAGGCAAGGAGGAGGAGACAGGGGGAGGGTGGCGGCGATCGGAACCCGGGTTCCTACCCGTCAGCCCGGGGTTCCGGTCCATGGGCCGCGGGCGCCGAGTTGCTGCCGGCGGAGGAGCTACCTCTGTGAGGTAAGAGTCGCCGCCTCCGTGCGCGCCGGGGTCACGACGCAGGGCGGCCCAGAGCAGCCTGGGAGATGTAGTCCTCGGACCGTCCCCGCTAGAGGCTGCACAGCCCGCCCCGACCACCGCCGCCGCCCGGTCGGCGCCCTCCGGTTTCCTTCCTTCTGGAGGGAAAATGTCCTTCGGGCCGCTATCCAGGAAGCAGCAGGATGTGTCGCTCGACTGTCAGTAGCAACAAGGTCAGCCTCCTTGCCGGTTTCTCCCCGTCATCCCACTCCACCCGCACCTCTTGCCCTCAGGTGGGGCTGAGCCAGGTGAGGGGAGGGAGATGGAAGGGCCGTTCCTCGCCAGGGTCCGCTGCCCGGGCGCCAGCGACGGGGCGGGCCGCAGCGAGGATGTGGGTGGCAGAAATCTGTCTCCGAAGCCCTGGACGCTGGGCCAGCCTCTGCCTCTCTGAACCCATTTTGGAGAATTACACAATCCCCGCGAGGGCTCGGCTGTTGGGGTGCGCGAGGTTATTCTTGGGGGCGGGGTGTGCGTGTATCGGCGGGTAGGGTTTACCTGGACCGGGCGGTTTCTAGCTGAGTCTCTTGAGAGTGAATTGGGGCGGGGGTGGCAGTGAGTAAAGGTCTTCTCTCTCTCAAGGAAGTTTCCAAATTGTGCCTGGGTTTTTAAGGGATCGCGGCAGTCTCCAAATGGAACACGTTTGTGAATAAACAGCTCTTGCTTACTCAGCTGTGGATTGTCAGGGATGTTTGCTGCTCTCTGCTGCTGGCCACTGTTAACCATTTCTAGTCGCCTTGATACCTCCAAGCAGGTGGATAGGGGGGATCCAAAAGAAGAACTCGCTTGGTGGGTCGTGTCTCTGGCGCTCTAGGAATAGCTTTGGCAGGAGGAGAGAGCTTTGGCCAAAACGTATGCGTATTTTGGACGACCTGTGGCGTTCTCTAGCGCTGTTTGGTAGCACGTCTGGTAAATTTCCCCTTGCTGCTGCTTAATTTCTCCTGCTAGACAGTCGCTTTTACTTTTACTTTAAAATGTGCCTTTTGTTTAGGTAGAATTTTACAGTCGGCTCTTAATTCTCTGCTCAAAATCGACCAACTATATTTGAACGAGTGTACACACAACCACCACCACCACCACCCCACGTGACCAGAGGTTTAGTTGGTCTTCAGTTTCTGAAAATACTGTATGCTTTTTATCAAAGGCTTTGAGGGCCTTTACATAACTAATTATAATTAACGATCCACTCCTTTCTCATGAAGGAAGAAAGAGGCTCCCGCTCAGGTGGGAAATGAGTGTTTAGTTTAATTAGAGTGTCCAATATTTTATACTCTATTTGTTCTTTGTTTGGTATAAGCACACACACACACACACACACACACAGTGTATTTATCTCTTAAGCAATTGTCAGCCCCGAGAAGATGGATGTATTTGAGCTTAAAAACAGAATTTGATCCTAGCATATTAATTAAACTAGTTTAAACTCCTTTTAGTTTTATGATTTACAACATAGGTTCCCAAACTTATTTGACTTGCTGCCCCCTTTCAGAAAAAAATTACTCAGTAATACCCCTGGCTATTTAAAACGTTTGTGCTGTAGCCCATAATCCAAGATAGAATTTAGGTATTTGCTATTGCAGCCCCCCTGGATCATTCCATTGGCCCCCAAGGGCAGTTTCACCCACTTTGGGAAACACTGATTTACACTGAAAGGATTCTCACCTCATCTTAGAATGTCTATTCTAAGAGTAGATTTTACAAAAAAGGTTTTTATGAAAAACAAGTTTTTGGTTCTGTCAAGAACTCTTTAAAAAAAACATTCTATTGTTTATCTTAAGAGCAATTAGCACCAGACTCAGTAATTCCATTCCTAGGTATATCCAAGAGAAGTGGAAGCATTCCACACAAAGACTTGTACATGAATGTACTTAGCAACATTTTCCATAATAGCCCCAAAGTGGAAACAACCCAAATATCCATGAATTTATAAATGGGTTCCAAATAGGGCATGACCTGTACAGTAGAATGTTATTAGGCAATTAAAAAAGAATCAAGTGGATACATGGATGAACCTTGAAAAGAGTATGTAAAGTGAGAGGAAATAGTTTGATTCCATTTGCATGACAGGTTACGAATAAAGCAAATCTATAGAGACATAAAGTAGATTAATAATTGCTATGCGTTGAAGTAGTCTGACTGCAGTGGGTAAGGGAAGAGGAATTTGATGGGGGATGGGAAATGTGTGACTCCTAATACGTATAGGGTTTCTTTTTTGGGGTTATGAAATAAGAATTAGATAAAGGTGATGGTTGCACAATTTTCTGACTATACAGTCTTGAATTGCTTAATGTCCACATCATGTTCTAAGAAGTAGGACACAATGATTTGGACTTGTGTGCATAACATTATATACAGGAAGTCCCTGGATTATGAAAGAGTTTCATTCCCAAGTCTGTTTTAAAGTCAAAAGTTATGATATGACAAAATAACAATTTATAAGCTATGAAGGGCTCAGGAGGGAGGGGGAAGCGGGAGGGAGGGGAAAAATGAGGACCTAAGGCCGGGGGTTTAAGTGGAGAGAAAATGTTTTGAGAATGATTAGGGCAGTGAATGTACAAATGCGCTTTACACAATTGATGTGTGTATGGATTGTGATAAGAGTTGTATGAGCCCCTAATAAAATGATTTTTAAAAAAGTTACCAAAAAAAGGGTCAAAAGTTACACAGTTCATATCTAACAGTTTGTCAAATGTTTGTCTTGCTATGTAGTATACCATTCTTTGCATAAAAAACATTAAAGACAAAGTTCCAGATCCAGTAAAACATCTTTAACATAAGACTTAAACCCCACAAAAAACACTGCCACCAGTTTATATTCAGATTCGTAGCAACTCTCACCAAAAAACGCTCTGTCGTCTAGTCAATGCCAACGACCCAATAGCACAGGGCAGCACTGCCTCCTGTGAGTTTCTGAGATTGTAACTCTTTATGAGAGTGTAAAGCACCGGCTTCCTCCCAAGGAGTAGCTTAGGGTTTCAAACTGCTGAACTTACAGTTAGCAGCCCAACATATAATCACTAAGCCACTAGGGATCCTATCTAGTCTTTTAGGCTCTAAAATCTTTACAGGAGCAGATACCCTCACCTTTCTCCTTTAGAGCAGCTGGTGGGTTTGAACCCTGATCTTCAGTCCAACATGTACCCGGCAGCACCATGAGGACTCCTTAATACAGTAATAATAATAATGGTTTAAATAATAATGTTTAATGCATTTTGTAAAATAGTGCCCGTGTGTTATTACAAACCCCATTGTATGTACCTAACACTTTAATAAAATGGACAATAAAGGTTAGGATCCCAGGAGTATGTCGCATACCTTGCTGCAAGAGTGGATGCTATGTAGTGCATGACTATACTGAAAATCACTGCATTGTTCCCTTAAGAGTAAATATTATGGCATGTGAATTCAATATCAATTAAGAAAATAAATTATGGTATTGTTGGCACAACTCTAAATACACTAAGAAAACATTGGATTATATACAGATAGTCCCCAAATTAAGACAGTTCCGTTCAGAAATCTCAGTCATAAGTCAGTTCTGATGCAATTGGGATATCTCATTTTAAAAAGTTTTCATTATTATTGCCTTTTATTATCAATATCTTTATAAAGCATAACATTGAACATCTGCCAGTGAATGAGAATTATAACATGAATAAATTATGTGCGGCAACATTATATGTAGTATATATTACTAGTGATAAGATGCTAAAACAACAACAGTGATAAAAACCACAGACAGTGGTATTTGTGGTTCCATATAATTTATTTTGTAAATTGGGGACTACTTGTGCTAAAAATGAGTGCATTATTGTATGGTATGAAAGTTACATCTTAATAAAGCCCCTTTTAAAAATGGTAATAATTTCCCATGTAAAATGTCTATGAGGACATCTAAAGAGAGGCATATAAATTGGTAATTCCTTATTGTCAAGCTCTGTTTTTAGAGTAGGCTGTGACTTAACCAAAGGGTACTGCGCCAACAACTCCACTGTATGTTCTTTATGATATAAAGAATTGCCTTTATTATCATTATCTCTATAAATTTGATCTTTATTTGTAGGTAGAAACATTAAGTATAATTTTAATAAATATTTTAGTACATTCAAATATACAAATATATGCACACAATATACATATCATATAAATTTACTTTAACAAGAAGAGTTGGAAGACTTGGTAGTAAAAACTCCACTTATAAAAGGTTCTAGATCATCTAAATTTTTCCTAGGAATAGGGGTGGTGTTTCTAGTCAGAAAATGATGATTTCCTGTACGGTCTTCCCCATATAGTTTGCTGTAACATCTTGCTGTCTCCCAAAACTGCCTAACAGCTTTAGCAAAATGATCTGTGTTTAGGTTGATGTTTTTTAGCAACTTAAGTCTCTCATTTAGTTTAGAAAAACACTCCCGTTAATTTTAAAAAATCTGTTAAATTCAGATCTGTCAATTCACTTTCTTTTTGATCTACAAGTTAGTCTACATCAGCTGTAACAAATTGTCCACTGCAACATTGTATTAAAGCATTGCTACAATGCCATAGAAACTTTTATTAAACAAAAATAGCAAAACATGAAGCTGTTGTTTGTCAACAGATGCTTGACTTGTGAAGCATGTGATGGGTTCCATTTCTCTAGCCTTTCCTTGAAGAATTTTACAATCTTTGATATATACCACATCCAAACCGCAGTTTGGACATATTCGAGGGACTCAAATTATGTTTCTTTAATTCAGTGGTTCTCAACCCTCCTAATGCTGCAACCCTTTAATACAGTTCTTCATGTGGTGGTGAGCCCCCCAACCATAAAATTATTTTCGTTGCTACTTCATAATTGTAATTTTGCTACTGTTATGAATCAGGCGACCTCTATGGAAGGGTTGTTTGACCCCCAAAGGGTTCATGACCCGCAGGTTG